CACACATACTGCCTGAACAGACACTCTTCTTTACACGAACAGGTACACTGTCTGCACGTACAGACACACCCTTACCCGAACAGACGTGTCATGCACAACTTCTGGTGAACAGGAAAGTCTATTGACAATGCCCTTTTGCTTTAGATCTGGATGTGTCCGTTGATAGAGAACTTGACCCTTGACCTGCTTTCACGTTTCTGAGCCCTGGCAAGATACCCTTTCATGCTGCTTTATTTTTACAAGGCCTGAGGCCTACATCGGGGTAAAGGCCCTTTTAATCCTATCGATGAAAGTAGCCTGCCTCTATCTCTCTGCGCGCATGGCTGGAAAGGAGTGTATATTTCCATATTCTAGTTTTAAGAAAAAGAAAAAAGAGTGACCGTCTTGGGATATCATGATTGAACTGACCGTCCTCAGGTAATTCAGAATTATTTTATTCTGTCCATCTGACTGCATCTGGACTGGAACTGGGCTAGGCCAATCTTGGTTTCAGAAGTTCATGGTTGTACCAACTCAGCTCAGTCCGTTGGTTTTCTTTCGGTTTTGCTCTGTGTGTGTGTGTGTGTGTGTGTGTGTGTGTGTGTGTGTGTGTGTGTGTGTGTGTTTATCCTTGCCTTTTTTTTTTCAGCTTATTTTTGATACAGATGCTCCGGAGTTTGGTGGCTTAGGAAGGCGGGACGCAGAGAAGCGGCAGGGAAGCTTGCAAACTGTCCGAAAGAAGTAAGTCGTCATATAAAGGAGAATTTGGATAAATGATTTCTAGCGGCTAGATGAAACTTATTGCATCCGTCAGCCATCGTGAAACTTGTTCAGGTTTTTCCTATCTCATGGTCGCAGAACCGAAGGGGAAAATAAAAGGTGAAAAAAAAAAAGGGGGCGGGGGCAAACCAGCTTCGACCTTGTACTGCATACAAATTTGCAAAACAGGTTTCGAATTGCTTACGTAATACGTAGGAATGCACTTGGATCATCACACACAAGTGCGCACACACTTGCTCTACAGTGGGTTTTGGCTCGGCTGACCGGTTTCGGCCACCGCTCTGCCGGTTTCAGCCACCGCTGCCGGTTTCGGCGACATGACATGAACATGAAGATCTTTGCACACAGGTCACGCAGTACATAAAACGTCCACGACGACATGTGTACATTTGCAATATGAACATGAGCGATTGAAACTTGATCTGCTTGGTATTGCCTCGCCTGACCGGTTTCGGCCACCGCTGCCATGCGGCACTCTTCAGTCCTCAGGGGGTAGCTGCATACAACAGAGTTTTTTTTTTTTTTTTTTTTTTTTTTTCTCCAAACAACAGAGTTCGACTTGTATCAATGCCTTTTTGTGTAAATGTCACTTGCGAGTCATTACGACGAAGGGGGGAAAAAAAAAAAGTTTAAAAAAGTTTAAAAAAGTTTAAAAAACAATAATTGTGTGAAATGTGCAGTATTCTGAGATTGAAGGGAGGGGAAGTTTGAAAACACAAATAATTGTGTGTTTTAATCTCAACTTTGCTGCAAAATAGGAACATCTTCACACACAAATACTATACACACCAAGGAGGAGGAGGGGGGGGGTGGGGGTGGGGGATGGGGGGGAATGTCACCTCTTGAACGTCCCACGTGTGTGCATGTATGCAGGGCAATTTTTTTTATTATTATTTGTTTTAATTTTTTTTTTGTTGGGACATTTTTAGAAATCAAATGGGTCCCAGAAAAGACGTGTTTTGGGGGGCTAGGTTGGCCAAACGACCACTAAAGCCGAGGATGATTTTGCCGATCCCAAATCTTGATGGGCGGCAAAGAGAAGAAGAAAATAAAATGGCGCGGCCACAATTTCTTTCCTTTCTGGCTGGTCTGGTAGCCCCGGCCCCCCGAAAGTTTTGGATGTATGCAGATCGGTCTCTCTTTTATAGCCTGGGTCGCATACCGGTGGCTTACTTGATACCACAGGAACGCACAATCATGCTTATTTTGTGGAGCTGTGTATATTTGAACATATGACAACAGAGTCGAACAGACCAGTACGTGCTCCCAACCACTACTAGACGGGGGCCATCATACCGGCGGGGCGTCAATCTTGGCGATGCTCATATCATCTGTGAGCTTGCAGGTCCGGGCCCTGATGTTATTAAAAAAAAAAAAAAAAAAAAAAAAAAAAAAAAAAAAAAGGAAACATGAAAACACACACAAGCGCAGTGAGTCCCTCCTCCCTTTGATGACGTACGTCGTACACCAATTTGACAGATGCCCTTGTTAATGACCCCATGATTAGGCACGATGGCATCAAGACCTGGCTAACCTTTGCTGAGCTACCTTCTTCCAACCGAATACAACGTACGGTCATTATATAGCTGTATTTGAGGCATCCTTCAGTCTAGATACAGCTATAATGACCGTACGTTGTATTCGGGGGAGCCCGGGGAGGGAAGAAGGTAAGACTCTCTCCTCGCATCGGTGCCAATGCAAATGGCTTCTAAGAGTCTTTTATGGTCAGATTT